GAACTATACCTCCCACTGACACCAACGATTGGGCATTATTCCTACTACTGACCCGACCATGGGGCAGTATTCCTCCCACTGACACCGAAGTTCGGGCATTATTCCTACTACTGAAGAGATGAAGGGGGGTGATCAGCGCAAAACTGCTCAAAGTCCTGGGCTATCCTGGTATGAGGTGATGGTGGTGCTGTTGATGTTGAGGAAGATTTAAAGTGGGGGGGCCCGTATGGCACTAAGGGCAATGCTTCCAAAAAGTACTGTAGCAGTTATTCCTGCTACTGACCCCAACCACGGGGCACTATTCCTCCCACTGACACCAATGATGGGGCACTATTCCTCCCACTGACACCAATGATGGGGCACTATTCCTCCCACTGATACCAATGATGGGGCACTATTCCTCCCACTGACACCAATGATGGGGCACTATTCCTCCCACTGACACCAATGATGGGGCACTATTCCTCCCACTGACACCAATGATGGGGCACTATTCCTCCCACTGACACCAATGATGGGGCACTATTCCTCCCACTGATACCAATGATGGGGCACTATTCCTCCCACTGACACCAATGATGGGGCACTATTCCTCCCACTGACACCAATGATGGGGCACTATTCCTCCCACTGACACCAATGATGGGGCACTATTCCTCCCACTGATACCAATGATGGGGCACCATTCCTCACACTGATACCAATGATGGGGCACTATTCCTCCCACTAATACCAATGATGGGGCACTATTCCTCCCACTGATACCAATGATGGGACACTATTCCTCCCACTGATACCAATGATGGGGCACTATCCTCCCACTGACACCAATGATGGGGCACTATTCCTCCCACTGATACCAATGATGGGGCACTATTCCTCCCAGTGATACCAATGATGGGGCACTATTCCTCCCACTGATACCAATGATGGGCACTATTCCTCCCACTGACACCAATGATGGAGCACTATTCCTCCCACTGATACTAATGATGGGGCACTATTCCTCCCACTGATACCAATGATGGGGCACTTATTCCTCCCACTGATACCAATGATGGGGCACTATTCCTCCCACTGACACCAATGATGGGGCACTATTCCTCCCACTGACACCAATGATGGGCACTATTCCTCCCACTGATACCAATGATGGGGCACTATTCCTCCCACTGACACCAATGATGGGGCACTATTCCTCCCACTGATACCAAATGATGGGGCATTATTCCTCCCACTGACACCAATGATGGGGCACTATTCCTCCACTGACACCAATGATGGGCACTATTCCTCACACTGATACCAATAAAGGGGCACTATTCTTCCCACTGACACCAATGATGGGGCACTATTCCTCCCACTTACACCAATATGGGGCACTATTCCTCCCACTGACACCAATGATGGAGCACTATTCCTCACACTGACACCAATGATGGGGCACTATTCCTCCCACTGATACAAATGATGGGGCACTATTCCTCCCACTGACACCAATGATGGGGCACTATTCCTCTCACTGACACCAATGATGGGGCACTATTCCTCTCACTGACAGCAATGATGGGGCACTATTCCTCCCACTAATACCAATAATGGGGCACTATTCCTCCCACTGACACCAATGATGGGGCACTATTCCTCTCACTGACACCAATGATGGGGCACTATTCCTCCCACTAATACCAATAATGGGGCACTATTCCTCTCACTGACACCAATGATGGGGCACTATTCCTCCCACTAATACCAATAATGGGGCACTATTCCTCCCACTGACACCAATGATGGGGCACTATTCCTCCCACTGACACCAATGATGGGGCACTATTCCTCTCACTGACACCAATGATGGGGCACTATTCCTCTCACTGACAGCAATGATGGGGCACTATTCCTCCCACTAATACCAATAATGGGGCACTATTCCTCCCACTGACACCAATGATGGGGCACTATTCCTCTCACTGACACCAATGATGGGGCACTATTCCTCCCACTAATACCAATAATGGGGCACTATTCCTCTCACTGACACCAATGATGGGGCACTATTCCTCCCACTAATACCAATAATGGGGCACTATTCCTCCCACTGACACCAATGATGGGGCACTATTCCTCCCACTGATATCAATGATGGGGCACTATTCCTCCCACTGACACCAATGATGGGGCACTATTCCTCCCACTGACACCAATGATGGGGCACTATTCCTCCCACTGATACCAATGATGGGGCACTATTCCTCTCACTGACACCAATGATGGGGCACTATTCCTCCCACTAATACCAATAATGGGGCACTATTCCTCTCACTGACACCAATGATGGGGCACTATTCCTCCCACTGATACCAATGATGGGACACTATTCCTCCCAATGACACCAATGATGGGGCACTATTCCTCCCACTGACACCAATGATGGGGCACTATTCCGATTCCCACTGACCATCAAGCCTGAGGCGTTGTTAACGCTCACTGACCAGTCCGGCCGTGCTAAAGTCTGAAGGACAGTAAACTGGCCCTTTGTTTAGAAAGTTTGGAGACCCCCTACACTAGAGGGATGATCGCCAATCTCCCTCCACTTTACCCATTGATACCCCATATGGCTGCCCCATGCCCATAACAAAAGCCGACAGTTGGCTTGACAACAGCCAGGGGAGTGTATGTAAATACCCCCCGCAAAGTCAACATAAACTTGCTGGTGGCAATGATATATTATATGATATCTTCATGGTCACCAGAGATAAATGAATCAAGAAAAGTTCAGGTAGAATTTTCATGGCTAACTTGCAAGCTATTGTTAAAGAAAGTGCATAGGTGGTTAGGCAATGCCATAGGGGACATGTACCAATGCAATTTTTTTTTTTTTTTTAAGTCGTTCATGCGGCTTAAAGAGCAATGCTAAAAATGTACAAATCCTTTACCACTTCCAGTCCGGGCCAATTTTGGCATTCATTTCCTACATGTAAAAAACATCATTTTTTGTTGTTGCTAAAAACAACTTAGAACCCCAAACATTATATATTCTTTTAGCAGAGGCCCTACAGAATAAAATGATGGGCATTGCATATTTTTATGTCACACGATAGTTGCGCAGCAGTTTTTCAAACACACATTTTTTGGAATAAAAACACTTTAAATGGATTTTAATGCACAAAAACACAATAGAATACCCAATTCTTTGGTAGAATATAAAAGATGATGTCACGCCGAGTAAATAGATACTAAACATGTCATGCTTTAAAATTGAGTCTGCCTGTGAAATGGCACCAAATTACGGTACCTAAAAATCTCCATAGGCAAAGCTTTAAAAGCTTTTAGAAGTTACCAGTCTAGAATTACACAAGAGGACTGGAGCTAGTTATTGATCAGCGTCATTGCTATTACAAGGGATGAACAACATGCATTGACAGGTACTCTTTATGGAGAGATATGGGGGTCTATTAGACCCCAAATTTCTCCTCTGGCCTCCAATGCGCAGAGACACAGATCGGTCTGATTGGCCGCTTCCCTAGCCAGGTACGGCCAGGTAAACAAAGGGCCGAAACAGGATGTGACGAAATCCTTGTCGCTTCCCGTTCCTGACGTCACACAGTGGGAGCAACAGGATCCATTTCTCTTCCTGTGTACCTGAAGCCCGGTAAAGGTGGCGGCGGTAGGAGGAGAGGTGACGTCCTCCCTTTCTAGCTGCGCATGCGTGCCCCCGGGGGTGTGAGCGCCGCAGCAATCGGCGGTGCGTTGTGTCCCTGGGACACAGCCGATTACTGATCGCACTAAAGAGCCAATGACACAGGCTCAATCATGTGATCAGCTGTGTCCAATTACAGCTGATTGCATGTAAATAGAAAATGACGGTTATCGGCAGTCCTCTCATTAAGCTGACAGCACGTGAGGAGAGGAGGGGGTCGGTAAGCGGCATTCCTCCAGGGAACATCTACACTGATCATCAGGGCACTGATTATCAGTGTAGCCCAATCAGTGCTGTCTTTCAGTGCCCATCAATGTCACATACCTGTGCCCATCAATGCCACATATCAGTGCCCATCAGTGCACCTCAATGCCACATATCAGTGCCCATCAATGCCACATACCTGTGCACATCAATGCCACATATCAGTGCCCATCAGTGCACCTCAATGCCACATATCAGTGCCCATCAATGCCACATACCTGTGCACATCAATGACACATATCAGTGCCCATCAATCACATGTGCCCATCAATGACACATATCAGTGCCCATCAGTGCACCTCAATGCCACATATCAGTGCCCATCAATGCCACATATCAGTGCCCATCAGGGCTGCCTTTCAGTGCCAAATATCATGCAAGTCAGTGCCACCTATCGGTGACCGTCAATGCCGCCTATCAGTGCTACCTATCAGTCTCCGTCAGTGCTATATATGAACACTGCCTGTCAATGCCCACCAGTGATGCCCATCAGTGCCACCTATCAGTCTCCGTCAGTGCTATATATGAACACTGCCTGTCAATGCCCATCAGTGCCACCTATCAGTGCCCATCACTGCAGCCTCATTAGTGCACATCAGTGAAGGACAAACATTACTTATTTACAACATTTTATAACAGAAACTAAGAAAAAAAATGTTTTCAAAATTTTCAGTCTTTTTTAGTTTGTTTAGCAAAAAAATAAAACCCCCAGTGGTGATTAAACACCACCAAAAGAAAGTGTTATCTGTCTCGAAAAAGTGATACAAATTCTGTTTGGGTACAGTGTTGCATGACCGCGGAATTGTCATTCAAAGTGCGACAGCACTGAAAGCTGAAAATTGGCCTGGGTAGGAAAGGGGTAAAAGTGTCCGGTATAGGCAAGGGGTTAATGTATTCTGCCATTGCTACTGCATTCAGTAAAGCCTCCCATAATTTTACCACGAAGAGCCCATCCTAGAATGATGGGATAGTATCTTTCCCCATATACTTATCAATAGTCTGTTATAAATATATGAGGGATGTCATTACATCTTACCAGTGTTCCTCCTTTTCCTCTCTTGATCCTGCCAGGTTGTACTATGGTGAGACTTTCTTTTCGCTTCGGTTGGGTTGGAGGCTGTGTCTGACCGATGTCCACAATCTTTCCTGCGTTCCACAACTCTTGTGTTTGCTGTGTGAGTTTCGCCTGAAGTGAAGACATTGATGAACATTTACTATTAATTAACCTCCCTAGCTGATTATGTCAGTATTTCTGTGCTCAAAGCGGTACATTTTTTTTGCATGGAAATATGTTGTTTTTTTATTGTAGGCCTGTTATTCTTAGGAATAACTCACTGAAATCTGTCTGAACAAGAGTCTAGTAAACATCCCGGGGATGATAAAACTTGAAACACAAAATCATAAAATTATAATATAATAAATAATCATAAAAAAATAATAATATAATAATAAAAAATTTCATTCAATAATATAATCAAACCAAAAACACTGAAATGTGAAATAGAGCGCCAAGTTCGCACATCGCTGAGCAAAGTCGCAGAATCGTTTTCAGTGTCTGATGAGGAATTTCCCCCACGAATCATTATCACTCAATTCTGCAAGTGGTTCTGATTTACTATCGCTGTTCTCTAGCCGGTCTAAAACCGCTTTTGACCTAAAGGGACGCTTTTTGGACACCATGGACGTTTCTCAGTTTCCAGGCAGAAAGAACAGTAAAAATGCAGGCAGGGCGCCGGACAAAGCACTCGGGACAAAATGTATGTGAAATGGTTTGATACAGGAATGTTATATACTATGTGATTTTAGTGTATTTAGTGAATGTCACTTTTTGACATTTTTGAATTTCCCGCCAGTTCCGTCCCCCGTACGTCCCGACGTCGCAGGGAACGGAACCCGGAAGACAGATGCCGGCATCGGCCGGAGGACATTGCCGGGGACACTGCAGGGGGACATCGCGGGAGCGCAGGACAAGGTAAGTGCTGGAGGGATCCCGGAGCAACGCTGCAGTGTATTCCCGAGTGTAGCTCGGGGGTTACCGCTTGTGGTGCTGAAACTTTACCCCGAGCTACACTCGGGAATACCGCCAGGGGGGTAACTCAAAACGTACTCAGCAAACATCTTCAACTCTATCTTGCTAGTGGAGCGGTGAGCTGGATGTGGATACACATTTTATGCTTTTTACGGATTTATATCTTTAAGTGTTATTTTAGTGGGGGATATAATAAAGTGTTATACAGAGAGCACTATGTTTCGGTCTTTCTGTTGCACGAGATCAATTTTGGCCGATGTCAGTGAGTGGAAGGCGAGAGGAGATCAGGACATATGTCACTGCGAAGGAGGAGTTGAGTACACCCAGATGTTTTCTTTTCTTGTGGTGAGCAGGTTTTTCACCTGGTGTGGTGGAGGATCACTGAATATTACTAAAGAAGAAGTGTATACACGTCACTGAGGAGATTGTTTATGGATTTTTTTGTTTATCACTTGTACAGTTGTGCTCAAAAGTTTGCATCCCCTGGCAGAAATTGTGAAATTGTGGCATTGATATTGAAAATATGACTGATCATACCAAAAAAATGCTCTTTTATTGAAGGATGATGATCATATGAAGCCATTTATTATCACATAGTTGTTTGGTTAATTTTTAAATCATAATAACAGAAATCACCCAAATGACCCGGATCAAAAGTTTCCCTCCCGTGGAATGTTTGGCCTTGGTACAGACACACAAGGTGACACACACGGGTTACAATTCCAATTAGAGGTTAATGTCCCACATCTGTGGCTTTTTAAATTGCAATTAGTGTCAGTGTATAAATAGTCAGTGAGTTTGTTAGCGCTTACATGGAAGCACTGACTAGGCTAGATACTGTACCATGGGGATCAGAAAAGAACTGTCAAAAGTCCTGCGTAACAAGGTAATGGAACTTTATAAAGATGGAAAAGGACCTAAAAAGATGTCCGAAGCCTTGAATATGCCAATCAGTACTGTTAAATCACCTATTAAGAAGTGGAAAGTTCAGGGATCTCTTGATACCAAGCAAAAGGTCAGGTAGACCAAGAGAGATTGCAGCCATAACTGACTGAAGAATTGTCCGGGATTCAAAGAAAAACCCCACAGGCAACCTCAAAGGACAATACAGGCTGCTCTGGAAAAAGATGGTGTGGTTGTTTTTAAGGAGTACAATACGGTGATATTAGCTGTTTGGTCGAGGTGCCAGAAAGAAGCTTTTACTGCACCAATGCTACACAAAAGCCCGGTTACAATATGCCTGACAACACCTTGACATGTCTAACCGGGCATTCTTGTGTCATTGATGCAGTAAAGGCTTCTTTCTGGCACCTCAACCATGCAGCTCATTTTTGTTCAAGTATAACTGTATTGTACTCCTTAAAAACAACCACACCATCTTTTTCCAGAGCAGCCTGTATTTCTTTGGAGGTTGCCTGTGGGGTTTTTCTTTGAATCCCGGACAATTCTTCTGTCAGTTATGACTGCAATCTTTCTTGGTCTACCTGACCTTGGCTTGGTATCAAGAGATCCCCGAACTTTCCACTTCTTATTAGGTGATTTAACAGTACTGATTGGCATATTCAAGGCTTTTGGACATCTTTATATGTCCTTTACCCCCTTTAAAAAGTTCCATTACCTTTTTACGCAGGACTTTTGACAGTTCCTTTCTGATCCCCATGGCTCAGTATCTAGCCTAGTCAGTGCTTCCACGTAAGAGCTAACAAACTCATTGATTATATATACACTGACACTAATTGCAATTTAAAAAGCCACAGATGTGGGACATTAACCTCTAATTGGCATTGTAACCCGTGTGTGTCACCTTGTGTGTCTGTACCAAGGCCAAACATTCCAGGGGGGCGGAGACTTCTGATCCGGGGGCGGAGACTTCTGATCCGGGGGCGGAGACTTCTGATCCGGGCCATTTGGAGGATTTCTGTTATCATTATGCTTTAAAAAAAGAGCCAAACAACTATTGGATAATTAATGGCTTCATATGATCATCATCCTTCAATAAAAAAGCATTTTTTGGCATGATCAGTCATATTTTCAATATCAATGCCAACATGTCACAATTTCTGCCAGGGGAGGCAAACTTTTGAGCACAACTGTATGTACTTTAGCAGCGCTGGTGATGTCACCGATGCATGAGCACTGCACTCTCATTGGACGGTGTGCCATCCATTGAGAGAGCCGTGCTGCGGCCGAGACTCCTGTGCGCATGTGCGGGAGTAATGTTACTGCGGCTCGCCCAGTCAAACAGCAACAGCCTGGGAACCTGGAAGGAACACCAAGTGAAGATGGAAGACCAGGGGAGCTGTGACAGCGCTCTGCTAAAGGGCTTCATTTTTAAGTAAGTCTTTCATAATGTGCTAGCATGCGATGCATACTAGCACATTATGCTCTTAACCACTTCCCGTCTGGCCGCTGCATATAAATGGCTGGACGGTGGCAGTCCAGGGGGGAGTTGAAGTTCATAAACGGCGCCCGCCATTTTGGATTGTGCGCGCTCCCTGGGAGCACGCAGCACCACGATCCAGTGCCCGCTGTGTCCAGACACCGATCGCTGTACGGGACCTGTGTGTGATGTCCCGATCATGTGATCACTGGTTGGCCAATCAGTGACCACATGAATAGGTGTAAGTAAGATCACTTACAGAAGTAAGTCACTTCTGACATCATTGCTTACTACGTGTGAAATCTGTGAATGATCACAGAGGTCACATGGTACAGGGCTATTCACAACTGCCTTGTACCATGTGACAAGCTGTGACCAATCACAGCTCACACAGTATTTCTCAATGGCTGCAAGAATGCCGCCAGAGAGAAGGAGAAACAATTGCTTTTACAGCCTTTATGGGTGTAAAAGCAATCAGTGTAAATAAAAAAAAAAAAAAAATCATCACCCCCCACAAGTAGTACAGTGTCACTATGGTGAAACTGTACTGCTAGGGTGAAGGTATGTTAAAAACAAAACAAACCCCCCCCCCCCCCGTAAATAATAATATTAAAAAAATGAAATAAAAAAGGTTAAAAAGAGTTTTGAAATATTATCATTTTTGGTTATAAACTAATTTTGGATTATTTTTTTTTTACTAAAAAGATAGATGAATAAATTTTGGCCAAGAAAGATTTATTTGCAAAAGTTTATAAGAAAAGCACTTTTTTTTTTTTTCAAAATGTTTGGACTTTTTCATTTACATAGCAAAAAAATTAAAATCCCAGCGGTGAATAAATACCACCAAAATAAAGTTTTATCTGTCTCAAAAAAAATGCTAAAAAATTCATATGGGTACAGTGTTGCATGACTGCGCAATTGTCATTCAAAGTGTGATAGCGCTGAAAGCTGAAAATTGGCCTGGACAGGAAGGGGGGGAAAGTGTCCGGACTGGAAGGGGGGGAAAGTGTCCGGACAGGAAGGGGGGGAAAGTGTCCGGACTGGAAGTGGTTAAAGAAGAAGGATGGGATCTTCTTAACAAACTTTAAAGTGGTTGTAAACCTCAGATGTGAAATATGAACAAAGCATATCCCTTTATAGTGTGTACTTGTCTACTACACCTTCACCCCAAAAGTGAGGAAATAGTGCTGGTAATGTTAGCTGTATAAAGTCACGTTAAAAACACGAGTTTTTCAGCGTTTTTGTATTAGTGTTTATCCACGTTTTTTCGCGTTTGCATTTTTTAGAGGTTTTTTTATAGTCAAAAAAAGTCCAAAAACGCTTGTTTGCTGTGATTTACTACGTTTTGCCACGTTTTTCAGCGTTAGAGCGTTTTTACAGCTAAAAAAAAAATTCATCTTTTCAGCTTAAGAGTTTTTGCATTATCGTTTGGCGGCGTTTTGTCGCGCTTAGTGGCGCTCTCCTGCGTTTTTTCCGCATTTAAGTTTTTTAGCGTTTTAACCCAAAAATTATTATTTTTTTGGTCAAAAAACGTCCAAAAAATACTGGTTTGCCGCATTTTTCAGTGTTAGAGCGTTTTTTACAGCTAAAAAAACTCCTCTAGAAGCCCACTAGTTTTGTGGTTTTTTTCCAGCCAAAAATGCTGATTGCAGTCTGTGTGTGTACGGACACATAGGATAACATGCTGGGGGGTTACTGGCTGTAGAAAAAAAATGTCAAAAGCCAAAAACAGCCGCTGCAAAAACGTCCCGTGTGCGTGAGGACTCATGAAGACAAGAAATTTGGAAATTGTTGTGAATAATTGGAAGCACGTGGACTCTTTATTTATGCACATTGTTGTAAAATATTGCACTTTATTTTTAATTTTTGCATACCAGCCAATAGCGCAGTATGAGATTTTGAATACCGGGCCGGCTGCAGGCATCGTTCCAGTGCAACCACTTGAAATCCAGCGACGTAACGGTACATCGCAGGTCTTCAAGTGGTTAAAAAGAAAGTTTCAGTCATTTTTCTGTTTATTAACCTCTTCACGCCGGCCGAACGCAAATGTGCGGCCTCCCCGGTATCTGGGCCTAGACGCCGAGCGGCCGCACATTTGCGCTCTATTAAAAAAGAACATATGTGCTGAGAGCGCGCGCCCTGCCTGCTCCCAGCACACATGTCCGGTACTCACAGAAAGGTCCCGATCTCCTCTTTCGATCGGGACCTTTCCCGATCATGTGACCTCCGTGACGGCGTGTCACATGACCGTAAACCCCGCCCCCTGGCTTCTGAAACCCTTAAAGGGCCGGGAGGCGCCGGCGTGAAGGGGTTAAAAGTCAGAAGCTACAAAAACAGTATCTGCTGACTTTTAATGAACACACACTTACCTGTCCCGGGGTCCAGCGATGTCCTCACCCACGCTGTCCTTTCTCTTCCTCCTCTCTACCCAATGTCTACATCTCAACTGTGGGCACCAGGCTATGACAGCCGGGTGCCCACTACGCATGTGCATCCCGATTGGTCCGGCAGTCTTCTGGGACCTGTGAAGTGTCCCAGAAGACTGCAGGAGGAAGGAGGAAGGGCCGAACTTCGGGTCACTTTGTTGTGGCGAATTGAGCCGGAAGTGGGAGCGGGTACCAGTCAAACCAGGTATCTGCTCCCCCCCAAAAACCCTCATTGGGTGCGATTTCATATTTTATATGAGAGTCACGCATTATGTCTACATTCTCTGCAATATCGCTCATTTGGGAAATTTGAGGCCTGCCTACCATACAATATCCGGATCGACCTTACGCACCAATTTCCTCTTGGGGGGACTGACTGAGATTGTTCTATCAGTTTGATCCTGCCATTAATCTGTGCATTGTCCTTTTTTTTGATTTCCATCAAATTCTGGTTGTCCTATGTTTCCCATTTGACACCACACGGTCCTAGGAGGTCTCATGGAGTCCTAGTTTGCTGGTTGAGTGTGCAGTGCCTGTCTGGGTGCGTGTGGTGTGGACCGGGATCCCGGGACGGGTGTTTTACTGTATGGCAACGTTGTCATGATTTTATTGTGTAGGGTGGAGGGTTCTACAGCCTTCGTATTGTGCCATGAAAGTGTTCGCAAACATTTTAAGCCGCAGCATGTTCCCAGGAGGACTTCTTTCCTAGTGGGTTCTACTATGCTTTGGTCCTGAGAACACCACCCCTGAAATAGGGTGAGTCGGTATACTTTTTTTATATATTTAGCTGTAATCACATGTGCTGGGGATCCCATTTTTTTTGTTTACCCCCCCCTCCAAAAAAAAGTGCCAAATATGGCGGTGGAGGGAGGGGGCGGGAGAAGGCGAACGACTAGAGCTTCCACTTTTTGGGTGGAACTACCCTTTAAGCAAAGCTACGACTGTGGATCAGAAATGGCCGCCTTCTCCCACTGACATGCAGGCTGTGACCAACATCAATATATATTATTATTATCATTCTAATAAAGTATCGGGCAGCACAGTGGCTACATGGTTAGCACTTCCGCCTGGCAGTACTCTGGTCGTTGGTTCAAATCCCAACCACAGCACCACCTGCCTGGAGTTTGCATGTTCTCTCCCTGTGCCTGCATGGGTTTCCTCCGGGTACTCCGGTTTCCTCCCACACTCCAAAGACATGCTGGTAGGTTAATTATCTCCTGTCTAAATTGGCCCTAGTATGTGTATGTATGAATGTGAGTTAGGGACCTTAGATTGTACCCCCCTTGAGGGTTAGGGACTGATGTGAATGTACAATATATATATGTAAAGCGCGGTGTAAATGGACGGCGCTATATAAGTACCTGAAATAAAGTGGAAGCTACTTGGATGTCTGGAAGATTATTATTCGTTGTATAAAAGTTGTGTATGAAAACACTACAGTGTACAAAGGAGATTCTACAAACAGGGTAGAGGTATGGCTGTTTCAAAAAGCACATTTTTACCCCAGCAGGATGAAAATTGGATCATGCTTTGCTGGGCTTTTGCCTTCCTCTGGATCAACTGTGAGTGTAGGATTATAACTTTTTTTTTTTTTTAATGGTTGAACTGGATGGGTCTTTTTTCAGCCAGACTAACTATGTAACTATATTTAGTTTCCACAGGGACCCGTTTCTGTCTGATTCTTGCACACAGCCTGACAATCACCATCTCACCTTCTCTTCTGGATCTGCAGTACAAAGGATTCTAGAGGCCCAATAAGTCAACGAACGTTCGTCTTCTACCCCTTTAGCACTTTCTCCAGATTCTGTATTGTCTGGGAAGAAAAAAATATATAATCTGCTATAGCCTTGCGTTGTCTGTGATGAATTTTTATACAGGTTACATTCGGATCATGTATCAATTCAGTCAGTGGCCGTATCCCTGACGGGGTGTACAGCTGAAACATATAGATCATGAATTAATACAAGGCATGAAGTTCACCTACTAAATCTAACCCATGTTGTGCGGATTTGTATGTCATTGTCTTCACACACGAGATCTGCACTGTGAGGAAGAAGTCAGCTGAGTGTCTTAAAAGGAAAGAGCAATCAAGAAAATGCCAAATATGTGAGATATTTAAAGTGTAATTTCACTTTTTTTAACCATTTCCATACCGGGCAATTTTACACCTTCCTGCCCAGGCCAGTTTTCAGGTTTCAGCGCTCTCACACTTGGAATGACAATTGCGCGGTCATACAACATGTACCCAAACTAAAATTTTATCATTTTCTTCACACAACTAGAGCTTTCTTTTGGTGGTATTTAATCACCGCCGGGGTTTTTATTTTTTGCTAAATTAACAAAAAAAATACCAAAAATTTTGAAAAAAAAAAAACCACGTTTTTCTTTGTTTCTTTCATAAAAGTTTACAAATAAATAATTGTTCTTCATAAATTTAGGCCGAGATGTATTCTGCTACATGTCTTTGGTGAAAATAACCCAAATTAGGATGTATTATTTAGTTTGTAGGAAAGTTATAGAGTTCACAAACTATGGTATAGATCTGAAAATTGATCAATCCTGAAGTACTGACAGCCAATCTAATTTCTTGAGGTCCAAGAATGTCAGGACAGTACAGATATCCCCCAAATGTCAGGACAGTACAGATATCCCCCAAATGTCAGGACAGTACAGATATCCCCCAAATGTCAGGACAGTACAGATATCCCCCAAATGTCAGAACAGTACAGATATCCCCCAAATGTCAGAACAGTACAGGTATCCCCCAAATGTCAGAACAGTACAGATATCCCCCAAATGTCAGAACAGTACAGATATCCCCCAAATGTCAGAACAGTACAGGTATCCCCCAAATGTCAGGACAGTACAGATATCCCCCAAATGTCAGGACAGTACAGATATCCCCCAAATGTCAGAACAGTACAGGTATCCCCCAAATGTCAGAACAGTACAGATATCCCCCCAAATGTCAGAACAGTACAGATATCCCCCCAAATGTCAGGACAGTACAGATATCCCCAAATGACCCCTTTTTGCAGAGTAGACAGTCCAACGTACTTCATAAGAGGCATGGCGAGTTTTTTGAAGTTGTATTTTTTTTTATGACCAAAGTAGTACAATGTTACCATAGTAACATTGTACTACTTTGGGGGAAGTGATCAGTATTTTTTTTTTTTTTTTTTTTTTTTTTTTACACAATTTGCTTATAGCAAAGAATTACTTTGCTATAAGCAAGCATTTACCTGAATGACATCAATTCATTCAGGTTTGTTTTTTTTTTTGTGCTTAGCTGTGATTTGGCCACAGCTAATCACATGACATGAGCATGTGACCTGCTGTGACCATTCACAGCTAGGCACTAGTATACAATGGATAGCATGAATGAAGCCATCCATTGTATACAACTGTCATGTGACCTGCTGTGATTGGTCACAGCAGGTCACATGGTACCGGCAACGGGGGCCGATACACAGATCTGTCATCGACCGTGTCCGAGGTACACGTCCGGTGACAGATCGCGCCGCTGTGTGGCTCTGCAACCGCGCGAACTGCGCATGTGCGGGAGGACGCCAAATGGCGTATACCCCGGAAATCTGCAGCATTTTTGCAGCCGCCAAACGGCTATAGGCCGGGCGGCTAATGATTAAAAAATGAAAAAATGTTACCCTGGGTAATCTTGCTGTAAGGCCTCGTTGACGCAGATGTGCTATGGTGTACACCGGTGGTCTCCAAACTGCGGCTCTTTACTTGCTTTTATCTGGTCCTTGGGGCACTATTTCATCCACTGGTACCAATGATGGGGCAAAATTCCCCCACTGAAACTAATGACTGGGCACAATTCCTCTCAATGACACCTAAGATGGGGTCCAATGACACCAATGATGGGACACAATTCCTCCCATAGACACCTATGATGGGGCACAATTCCCCCAATGACACCAACAATGGGATCCAATGACACCAATGATGGGACACAATTCCTCCCATAGACACCTATGATGGGGCACAATTCCCCCAATGACACCAACAATGGGATCCAATGACACCAATGATGGGACACAATTCCTCCTAATGACACCATTGGGGCACAATTTGTCCCAATGACACCTAAGATGGGGCACAATTCCTCCAAAATATTGGGCACAATTCTTCCCATAGACACCTAAGATGGGGCACAATTTCCCCAATGACACCGATGGGATCCAATGACACCAATGATAGGACACAATTCCAGTGACACTATTGATGGGCACAATTCCTCCCAATGACACCTAAGATGGGGCACAATTCCTCCAAATGATGGGGTCCAATGACACCAATGATTGGGCACAGTTCTTCCCATAGACCCCTAAGATGGGGCACAATTCCTCCCAATGAACCAAATGATGGGGTCCAATGACACCAATGATGGGGCACAATTCCTCCCATAGACACCTAAGATGGGGAACATTTCCTCCCAATAACACCAACAATGGGTTCCAATGACACCAATGATGGGACACATTCCTCCTAATGACACCAATGATGGGACACAATTCCTACTAATGACACCAATGATGGGCACAATTCCTCCCAATAACACCAACGATGGGGCACTATGCTTCCCAGTGACACCAATGATGGGCACAATTCCTCCAAATGATGGGGTCCAATGACACCAATGATTGGGCACAGTTCTTCCCATAGACCCCTAAGATGGGGCACAATTCCTTCCAATGAACCAAATAATAGGGCCAATGACACCAATGATGGGGCACAATTCCTCCCATAGACACCTAAGATGGGGCACAATTCCTCCTAATGACACCAATGATGGACACAATTCCTCCTAATGACACCAATGATGGACACAATTCCTCCTAATGACACCACTGATGGGCACAATTCCTCCCAATGACACCAATGATGGGGCACTATGCTTCCCAGTGACACCAACGATGGGGCACAATTTCCCCCAATGACACCAACAATGGGGCCCAACAATGGAACACAAGTCCTTCCAATCACACCAATAATGAAGCACAATTCCTCTCACTGACAGCAAAGATGTGGCATTGTTTCCCACTGAAGGATAATAAACAAGCTCTTTGTTTAGAAAGTCTGGAGGCCCCTGGTGTACACCCATATGAGGGCTGCATTTGCCCACGTGGAGAAGCACAGGTGTTCCATGCATCTCCATGCAAGCAGTCCTATTCATGTCAATTGGACATGCACAAACACAGCTGCCGCTCCCCCCCCCTTGGATATCCATGTGAGTGTGGGTACATGGCCTTGAATGCAGATCATGTGCGTTTGGGGCCATGCACCTTCATGGCTGTCAGATTGGGAGCAGCAGCTGCATCCGTGCAGCTGCTGCATCCTAACTCACAAGAATGGGGCTGCCTGCACAGAACACTTGGCCCTCGCATGGGTGTATGCTGTAGTACGCCCATAAGAAAGAGGCCTTAGGGCAGGTTCTCACCATGCCTGCACATGCATAGCACAGGAACGCGCTGCTTATTCCTGTGCGGTTCACGCAGCGTGCAAAATGCACTCCATTTGCGATCTGCAGCAGGTGTCAGTACTAAGTCAATGACAGCACAAATGCAGGTCGCAAATGCAGTGTTTGCCTGCACCTGCCCACACCAGATCACAGTGAGATCCAGTTGCAGTGCGTTTCAAAAGATAGTACATGCGCTACTTTTGGTGCAGTGCGATATTAGCCCATTCAAAACTAATTGGCTGAGATTGCACCACACAGAACGGCTTGTGAGTCGCACAGCACATTCCTGAACGATTCACATGCGGGCGTGACGTGAACTGGCCCTAAGAGAGTTTGTTCTGGTTAAGTGATGACACTGTCTTCTGGGGATATAGAGGTTTATGTGAGCGGGTTTGGCTGACATTATGTATTAGTCCTCCTGCACACGGGACGTTTTTACAGTGGCTGTTTTTGGCTTTTCACGTTTTTTTCTACAGCCAGTAAACCCCCAGCATGTTATCCTATGTGTCCATCCCCGGCATGTTCTCTTATGTGTCCATCCCCGGCATGTTATCCTATGTGTCCATCCCCGGCATGTTATCCTATGTGTCCATCCTCGGCATGTTATCCTATGTGTCCATCCCCGGCATGTTCTCCTATGTGTCCATCCCCGGCATGTTCTCCTATGTGTCCATCCCCGGCATGTTATCCTATGTGTCCATCCTCGGCATGTTATCCTATGTGTCCATCCTCGGCATGTTATCCTATGTGTCCATCCTCGGCATGTTATCCTATGTGTCCATCCCCGGCATGTTCTCCTATGTGTCCATCCCCGCATGTTATCTTATGTGTCCATCCCCGGCATGTTCTCCCTATGTGTCCATCCCCGGCATGTTCTCCTATGTGTCCATCCCTGGCGTGTTATCCTATGTGTCCATCCCCAGCATGTTCTCCTATGTGTCCATCCCCGGCATGTTCTCCTATGTGTCCATCCCCGGCATGTTATCCTATGTGTCCATCCCCAGCATGTTCTCCTATGTGTCCATCCCCGGCATGTTCTCCTATGTGTCCATCCCCGGCATGTTCTCCTATGTGTCCATCCCCGGCATGTTATCCTATGTGTCCATCCCCGGCATGTTCTCCTATGTGTCCATCCCCGGCATGTTATCCTATGTGTCCATCCCCGGCATGTTATCCTATGTGTCCATCCCCGGCATGTTATCCTATGTGTCCATCCCCGGCATGTTATCCTATGTGTCCATCCCCGGCATGTTCTCCTATGTGTCCATCCCCGGCATGTTATCCTATGTGTCCATCCCCGGCATGTTCTCCTATGTGTCCATCCCCGGCAT